TGCGCTGTGCGCGTCAGCGCAAGGCACGAGACTGTTAACTCTTATGGTTGATTTGTCGCTTGTTTTACGGTATTTACTGTACTTTTGTTACGGTATTTGCTGTCTGCTGTCTATTGTGCTAGCCTCGATGATTCGCGTCACAGATTTGTGCATGCGTGCGGTTCCCAGGGGTGCGTGAACCCTAGGGTTAGGCGTTTGTAGGCGTTCGCAACGACGTTCGTTTGCTTACGTTGGACCTGAGCCCAGGCTCAGAGTGATTTACTGTGATTTGAGGTATATCATTCGCTAGTGGCTAAGCTTCGTCTGAACGGTATCTTAGTCAGGGATTAGTTTACGGTATTGTATACGAGTTAGGCATTGTGTTTACTAGTCACGATGGTATTGACTCGTAGTGGCAAGAGTTCGAATAGAGTCGTTGATCATTCGGGTCAACGGAACCCAGTTGGGAACATTGTGAAGATTAAGGAACGTGCTTGTCGTACGGTTCGTTCTAGGATTTCAGGGAAAGTTAAAAGTGATCCCAGTCACTACGCGCAACGTTTACCTACACTAACTGGGAATTTACCTACACCTGTGGTCAGTGATCACCGCCGTTGTGCACATTCTACCGGGATTGGTTCTCTGAGAGGTGATGACCCCAAGGCCGCTCAAGGGTGTATGGACTATGATGTGGTTGGTCTTAAGGGTTCGTTTGGTGGTTTGGGTACTCCTCTCGAAGAATCTTCGACTCTGTACGCCATAGAGAATACTATCCGGAAGTCTTCCTATGGTTCTAGTTGTGAAGGATTAGAACTAGGAACTGACTCTATACTGGTTGAAGATCATCCTTATGTATGGCTGCCGACGTTCGGTATTCTACGTAAGGAGCTACTAGAGGGTCCAGAATGTCAAGATATCCGGGGCGGTATGTCTACGGTCCTGGGGAACTCGGAGGCGCCCGATATGATGGTCACACAAGCTGAACAGGGGAAGCTTAAGGACCTTCCAAGCGAGTATCTATGTCCAAGGAGTAGCGAGACTACGACCTGCTTATCTGCACTGGCCAACGCGGATACGGTCGATAGGTCTGGTACTAGTGATATGGATGAGAAGGGTGATAACGACGACCCGTGCATGCTACCATCAACTCACAAGGGTATCGTCTGCTCCGAAGGCTTGACATTCAGGGTGATCTCTGACGCTGATTGTCAAGGTTACCAACGCCCTAACCCCTTGCCCAGATTTGGTGAGGGACGGGTAAGGTCTGATGGCTTCCAGGGTACCATGGAAACACTGACCTGTCTTACTGTCCGTGATAGTAAGGCGCCCAGCACACCCCTCACTGACAGATTAGGTGAGGAAGGAGCTGGCCCTGTTGTTAAAAGGGGCATTGTGAGGCAACAGGGACCCCGTACCGAAGGTCTTCCAAGATTTGCGGGGGACGTGTCGTTTACGGGAAGATCAGTTAGGGAATTGTTGCATATGTTGTGTGCTCAAGGATGTTCCTTGACTAGGGTTGCAGTGCGTGAGCCGTTGGTCCTTGTGCGATTCTATGGGCTCCTGAGAGAGGGCCCCCACTTGGATGACCCTATCGGAGGTAGCCACGTTATTGTTAACGCTAGTACGGTTCCAAACCTGGTGCTAGGAAGGGAGCAGCTACACATGTTGAGTGTAGGAGATCCACTATGGATGTTCCAAGGAGGATTCTATGCTGATGTTACGGAGTGTGAGTCATTGGTCCTCGTGCGCCTCTATGGGCTCCTGAGAGTGGGCCCCCACTTGGACGACCCTATCGGAGGTAGCTACGCTTTTAGTAACACCAGCACTGTTTCGGACCTAGTGTGCCTGTGGGATGGCCAGGCGAGCATTACCTATGGTTCTGGTTACGGTCCTACTTACCCTATGATTTTGGGGAGTTGTGATGGTATATCAGATAGTGGGGCGTTGAATGCAAGATTGGTTTGTTGTGGCCGTCCTCATCAACGAGACCTCTGTGATGTCTTATCCACCGTTAGGCTTTTGGCCTTCATGATTGCGAGGGTTAGGGCTTACCGGGAGGCCACTACAATGGGTGTATCCACCCTGGGTAACCAAGAGGGCCCATTCGTGGAACACGCAGGCCTAGCTCGGGGCACGGTATGCTTAATACCGTATGACTTCCGAGCAAATTATGGTGATGTAGGGGATCTCATCAGGGTATTGACATCACCCCCATCACGTTCTGGAGGGGAACATGTCCATATGGTGGGGAATGGAGAGGATAAATGGGTAATGTTATCTATGGACAACAATCCCCTGTACGGTGGGAGCGGTGGTTCCACTAGCTTAAGGGGGAGCGTTGGAGTAAGGAAATATGATCGTGCCGATGTGAAGGGTACGCCTTGTACTATTAGTATGGCTACGAGTAATACTGCTACCACTACAGTAATCCCTACTACTAACTCAATATGCTGTCATATGTTATCGATTGGTAAGGTTGTCCGGGAGGGCGATCTGCCTAATTCATCGACCTCTGTTGGTCGAGGAGTGCAAGAGACTGCACCATTGCTATTTGAAGAATTAAATGATTCAAGGTTCAACCATGTTGGAGGGTCTTCCTCAAGTTGTTATGATATTGAGGTAGAGGGAGGAAATGGAGATACCTCAAAGGCCCCAAAGAAGGATAAAGAAGTAGGTTTGAAGGAAGTACGTATAGATACCCCATCCAGTCAAGACCCCCCCGGAGAGTCCGCTCGAGACTTGACGGATAAGGATAATAAAGATGGAGAGGAAACATCTTCGGATGGATTAGTTAAGGAAAAAGGTGAGCAACGCGGGCAACGGGAGAGGGGAAAGAGGGATGGATTCGAGGATCGCGCGCTGAAGGATGAGTTGAGAGGAGTACGAGATGGAATCAAGCGAGTGAACGAGCGAGCGAGCGAGCGAACGAGCGAGCGAGTGAACGAGCGAACGAGCGAACGAGTGAATGAACGCAGAGAGCGACGGAAAGATGCAAAGTCGAGTAGTCGAAGAAGGTATAGAGGGGACTCCAGAGAAGATAGCAGAAGGTATGTGATACCGAGCGACGATTCGAGGGAACCTAGGAGGTCGAGAAGACGGACTAGGACTACCCGTCGATCTCGTAAGAAGGGTTCGCCATCGCCGAGTGACTCGAGTTCAAGTTCAAGTTCCTCGGATTCTAGCCGGCGGGATAGGGCACGGAAACGGTACGAAAGTAGCAGCGAAAGTTCGTCCGTGGCAAATTCGAGCTCACAGAGTGATATGAGGTATAAGTTGACGAGAGGGTCTCATTATCGTCCGATGCGAAGGTTGCATAGGCAAAGGAGAAGCTGTGACGGTTGTGGAGCGACGAGATGTAGGGACCCCATCGCTATTAAGGAGTTCGATAGTGCTCAACAAACCGCTCTCAAATTAAAGCCGGATTATCGTTTCCGAGGTAACGAGGATCGAAGGTCTGGCACCATGTGGTTGGCTGAGATGGAACGGAAAACAGAAGGGCATCCTGAGGTTGTGCAATATTTATGGTTGAAACAACATACCGAGAGCGACTGCTGGGATACAGTCGTGGATAGGCAAAAGACACCCTATCGTTGCCATAACTCATATGCGAAGCATCTGGCTAAGGTTTATAAGAGAGTCAGAAGACTTTATGATACGGATGAGAAATTACAGAGGTCGCTGAAGGCGTTTGAGAACTGTCGACAAGGGAAAGATTCTGTATATTTCTTCATCAAGCGGTTGGAGAGGTTATCTTCGGAGTTATACTACCTAGGGTCTCCTACCCTAGAGTACACTCTGAAATGGAAATTGTATATGGGTTTAGATGATAAGGAGTTACGAGGGAAATTGGATGACTACGTTTCGGACCCTAAGGTGTCATTCAAAGCTTTGAAGAAGCGAGTGATGAATCGGGCTCAGAGGATGTACCAGATATCTAAGATGTTGGGAGATGGAGAACGGTCCGATAGGGAACGAATACGATATAGGAGCCGATCATCTAGTAGGGTCAGAGAAGAATCAGTTAACTCTATTGGGTCGAATGGTATATCCGATAGGGAGAGCTGTTATTCGGAGAAGGCAATCCTAGCGATAGGCCGGGATACAGCGGGTATTAGATGTTATCGATGCTTGAAAAAAGGACATTCCGCGAGTAGTTGTTTGGCTACGGAGCCTGCAGATATGGAGAATCGATGCATTAGGTGTGGGAGCCCATCTCACACGTTGGATAAGTGTAAGGTGAAGATGGAAAAGGTTATCTGCAAAAGATGCAAATTCCCAGGGCATTTGGCTTATACATGCAGAACCAATATAAAGGATGGTTCGCAAGGAGTTGGTACACCGACTGCGAGAGGCAGAGTAACTCCAAATGCAAAGGTGCATATGGTCGGAACTATAGAAGAGAGGGGTGATTTGGATGGTGAAACTATTAAAGAAGTGGAAAACTATAGAGTGACGTCTACTAATGTGGATTATGTTCCGATGGTGATTGGAGAAGTCATTTTGGAGGGCAAACCGGTATCGGCACTATTCGATACGGGAGCTGAAGCCTCGCTGGTGACTATATCAACGCTGAGGGAATATGTTCCGAATGCGACGGTGGATTCGCAATCAGTACCGAAAGTCAGCGTGGCAGATGGAGCGGCGATGACGATTCTGGGAAAGGTGCAACTTACGGTAGCCACGGCAAGTAAAGCGGTTACGGAGTGGTTTATTGTAACGGAGGATACAATGTCGGTACCCGTCTTATTAGGGTGTTCAACCTTGGCGAAGTTGAATACATCCATTAGTTTAACTCCAGAAGGTGTACAGGTCCAGACGGGACTAAAGAATTATCCGAAAGTCGGAGGGTCTTATAGACGAAGGAAAGTTCACTTTGATGACAAGGTTTTATATCTTCCGAATAAGAGGGTTACATCAAGCCCATTCTCTAACAAGAACCTAACGATCCAATACCAGGTCTATAAGGTTAATAGATTGTTGAAGGAGAATGAAGATAGATCGAGTAAGGATGAGTTCGTGGAGTTAGAGGATTTCTTGCGGCCAGACTCCCCATGGTATATTGAGAATTTGAGAGATGGAGTGAGTAGAGAATCAAAAGAAGTGTATTCACTTGAGGGATTTTCTGGTGGCGAGGGAGAGCAACCCTCGGATTATGACTCGATTAAGGATGGTCGGATCAATGTTGACGGTACCCCCCCCACAAATGATAAAGAGCAACGCGGGCAACGACAAGAAGAGAGGGAGTCGGAAGATATGGTCGATAATAAGCCCCCTTGGGAAGTATTAGAAAGAAGGTGGTTACGGGACGATAAGGCTGTGTTAGGAAGAGTGATGATATCTACGCCATGGATGGGGGAGGAACGACCAGATATGAATTATAGATATGCTGCAAAGAGAGGAGCGCATTCTGTGGAGCGATTGAATAAGGTTCAAAGAGAAGCGTTTGAGAAAGCGCTGAACCAATATGTTACAAGAGGATTTTGCGGCATTGTTAAAAATAATAAGGAGGATAATTACGAGAAGCTTCCGACGGCTACGGAATGCCAGGCGATATGGGAGTTATTGACGGAAGGGAGTGCATTGCAAGGGACGGTAGTGATGCTACCAAAGCATTTCACTCCATCACATACGGTCTTTCGCGATAACCATGTGACGACGCCGTGTCGGATCGTATTGGATTTCCGGGAGCTTAATAAATATTGCTATAAAGGCGGGAAAGCTCAAAATGATTTGTTGGGAGTGTTACTGCATATAAGGAGTTTTCGCCATTTGATTGGTTCGGATGTGTCTAAGGCATTTTGCCAAATGGTCACATCTATGGTTGATTTACCCTATACCTCTTATACTTGTATAGGGGAATACACGGTATTGTGGGAACGCATATCGTTTGGGAGTACTATGGCTCCCAATATGTTGGAGGCTTCGACATATGATGTCATTAAAGAAATTGAAGGTATAGTTGAGTGCTTACCACCACATAGTGAAGGGCTGGTTGATGCGAAGGAGCTGGATAAGGAAAAATTAGCTAAGGCCATGCTTTATTATTCGAAGAGTGGGTTGGATTATGTGATGGGTGGTCCTGCTATCCCCAGCAAGATGTTATTCCAGAAATTCGTAGATGACCTGTTCTTTGGTGGAGATACAATGGAAGAGGCGAAGCAATGTAAGCAATTCGTCAGCTATATATTCCAGGGGCATGGATTGTATACGGATCCAGCTAAGGATTTGGTGGCATCCGATGATTTCGATTCCCGCACCGGAGAAGCGAAGAGTGGTCATATGTTGGGTTACCTGTTGGCTTTAGAGAGAGATGATTTACATTGTGTATTTACGGGGACTATGCCGAAGGATAGAGTGACCAAGCGACAGGCGTTGGCAGTGTTGTCTTCACTCTATGACCCTATGGGGTTATTGTTAGAGTTGGACATGCAAGGAAGGTTCTTATGGCATGCAATTAGCAAGGTCTATAAGGACCGGGCCAACGTGATTGACGCGACTTTGACCACAAGGTTGAAACATTGGGCTCAAGAAGCACATCGATTGTCGTGCTGTATCGGGACCAAAAGGTTTGTGGATTTGGCTAACAATTCGCTTATAGTTTCGACGGACGCGTCGACAGATGCGTGGGGTATAGATGTGCGAGCTTATGGTGAGTATGCATCAGTAAGGCTTATGGCAAAAGGAGGTATTTTTCCTGCGGCACAAGCCTTATGGTCTATACCAAGGAAGGAGTTAGTCGGCGTGCATCAAGGTCTGAAGTATATTCGTTCGGTGTCGAGCCATTTGCCGGTTCAAACCTTCTTAAGGCCATATCAGGCACCATTGTTGTACCTTTCGCCTGATCATAAGGCCCGACCGATGGTTTTACTGTGCGATAGCGAAATTACGATTTATAGGCTAAGGAGGGCGGCTAATGACAAAAGGTTACCTGCTCCAGAGAGAAGGAGATTGGTCGAAATACGGAGTATGTGTGAGGAGCTGGATTGTGTCGTAAAGCACATCCCTTCGGAGTTAAATTTCGCGGATTCGATTACTAGGGCCAGGTTGGATTTTGGAAGAAGTATCAAGGCGAATGATGTGTTGGCTGCTATGGATTCTTCGAAAGTGATTTATGACTATCGAGAGACGATTGGTGAAGAAAAGGGGGTTGATGAAGATGCATTCATCGGAGTGATGGCTCTGACTGTTGATGGTATCGATTTACTCTCTGTGCAAGGATTGAATGATGATCAAGCAGAAGAGTTAACGGGATTAATGAGGTATGTCTCCCCTGATGGTCGGTATGATGAAGGATTGTTAAATGATGAAGGGTTTGAAGAAATAGTAGCCCGATGTGTTCGAAGGTGTCAAGAAGTAGATAGCGAATTGGGTCAGTTCCGACTGTATTTGAAGGGTGAAGTATCGAGGTCACAGTTGGGATTGAAGGCGAATATCCTAGCAAGACTAGGAAGGATATGCTATGTGGATACCGATGGTTT